CCCCCACAGTGTCCCTTGCTTCCAGCTTGTCTGTCAGTGCTCTGCAGCCCCGGGGTCCCCAGGGTCCCCCACAATGATCTTGGGCTGCTCCGTCTCTGCCTAATAAATTGTCCTGGGACCCGCTGGCCCTGCTCGTCTGCGGACAGGGAGGCGGGGGGGGCACTCCCTGGGCCTGGGTGGCAGGGACAGGTCTGTGTGTCCTCAGCAGGATGGGGGGGGACACACACTAAGAGGGGGGGCGACACCTGGCATCATCCCGCCGCCTGTGGGCAGGCCCACGGGTGGGCACAATGCCAAGGGCTCCTGCGTCCCCTCACCTGCTTGGGTCGGTGGCTCCGTGTCCCCCTCCCGGTGCCTTACCCCGCTGGTGGGCACGGGAACGGGGAGCCAGTCTCTGGAGTGGGGGGTTTTGGGGGGGTCACCCCATCCAGCCCCAGCACTGATGGCAGCTGCTGTCCCTCCTGCAGTGCCCCATCACAGGACGCTGTCCTGCACCCCGACATGGCATGCAGCACCCCCCGATAGGACCCAAGTGTCCTGCCCCCCACCTGCTGCTGCCCCCCCTGAGCCTCCCCGCAGCCCTGCCAGCCCCAGGGCCCCCCCAGTCACCCTGTTCCCCACCACCCGTGTCCCCAGGATGAGCAGGGTGCGAGTGAGGCGCTGGCAGAGAGACAGGGCAGTGCCAGTCCCAGCACCCCAGAGCCCGGGAAGGCAGCGCCCCACTCAGCGGGTGCCCCTGGGGCTGGGCAAGGGGGAGTGGGAGGTTGGAGTGAGGCTGGGGGGCACCCTGGATCGAGTGCCCCCGCGGTCAGTTTGCGGATGACACCCGGCTGGGTGGGAGTCTTGATCTCTCGAGGGTGGGGAGGCTGCAGAGACCTGGACGGGCTGGAGCCATGGGCTGAGCCCAGCTGGGGGAGTTTCACTGAGGGCAAATGCCGGGGGCTGCCCTGGGGCCACAACACCCCCCAGCAGGGCTACAGGTGGCCGGAGAGCGGCCGGTCAGAGAGGGACTGGGGGGTTAATCGATTGAGAACGAGCCAGCAGGTGCCCAGGGGGCCAAGGAGGCCAAGGGCATCCTGGCTTGTGTCAGCACCAGCGTGGCCAGCAGGGACAGGGACGGGATCTGCCCCCTGGGCTCAGCACTGGTGAGCACACTCGTTGCATTTAAGGTGAGGCTACATTTGTTAAGAGATAAATCCCTTTGCGTTCTAGCCCATCCTCAGAGATTAGGGCGGCTGGATTTATCTCCATAGCTGTTCCAATTGGGGCCGTAAGTACAGGCCTGACAGCAGATGCACGACCAGCCCGTGGCCGTAGGTCCGGTTGCACTCAAAAGAAGCCATCAGACTCACGAACGGTGCGGTTTATTCTCATGCCACTTTTACAGATTCTGTAAGATTGCCTGTGACAGATGCACAAACTGCCGGTTGGCTCTACAGCACGACACACACACAAAAAAAAAAAAACGGAAACGATTGACATCACACATTAATTCCCACGTCATCACTTGGTGTAGCCGAGGGCTCAAATCTTACCCAAAAAATGTCCCTTCTGGGGAGGGGGGGTGTGTGCACAAACCCGTCCATCTGTCCCTCTGATTTGGTGTCGGATTATCATCCTCCCAAGTCAGGGACAAACTCGGTGTAGGATTTACCCCAGCGCGTGTGTGTGAGCGGGTGGGACTGTGGTCGAGCCGTTTTCTGTTGGATCACGGCGCGGCGCTTTCCTTGGCGCGAGGGGCGCGCTGGTTTTTGTGAGAGAGGAGACACAAGGTGGCAGAGTGCTGCAACACACTCCTCGAGAGAAGTGCAAGAACCCACCCGCCTGGCCTCCACCTCGCTGCGCCTTCCTTCCTCCTTGGCGCGAACACGGATCACTGGCTCTTCACCCCATCCTGTGTTTGGGCACCGCGTGCCCAACAATTTTTCATTGTTTTGCTTTTCCCGCATTTCCACCCTGTGGAACTCCAGTCACCGCCACACACCTGAATCTGGTCTCTAATGGAGGTCGTCAGGACCAGGAGCATCGATCGGGTTCTCCCCCTCTAAAGGGAGAGAGTGAGTTTGCCGAATGGTTTTTATGTTGACTCATTAGAGTCGGTTTTGTGCAGCGTTTTGCTATACCCATGACGGTTACAGGCACAATGAACATTAACGCATCCTGTAGCGAGTTTCGGATCCAACCATCAACACCAAGTCCAAACAAACTGAAGAATCTAGAAAACCAGCCGCCATCCGTGGACTCTCGTAGCTCGCGGGTGTCTTCTGCTACTTGGCGTATCGGTGCAGACTAGCGTTGGCTAATTCATTAGCTAATTTCTCAACTTGATGGGCTAATTTGCTTAACGATGTGTGGTGGCATATCCAAATGTCCAAAACCCTTCCAGCGCCCAGGCCAGGTCTTGCCATCCCTCTACATTTCCCTCCGGGGTTATTGTCACCCGCCTCCCGCGAGTCACCCAGCGGGGCCGGGCAGGATCCCTTTTCCACCCAGGACACAAAGTCGGGGTCCCCGAGGTGCACTGGAGTGCAGGCAGCCCCGCCCATGGGGAGGGGTACATCTTACCACCGTCACAGGCCCAGATCAAACCAGCTGGAGCATCACCAGTGCCAAGGCAACAAATCGTTGCGAGGCGCGACTTCTGCGCTGACCGTTTTGGGAGCCGCGCTACGATTTCGGCACAGACAGCCCGTTTTCGGGGCGGGGGGGCGGGGGGTGAACTGGCCGAGAATATTTAACCCGATCATGTTGTTTCCAATTAAAAACAATTTATTACACGCTGCTTCATTTGATTTTGAGGCAAAAGAGGATTTCTGATCCAACGGTGTATAACCCTGGAGGCCGTCGTCAGACCCAAACCGAGGCACAAGCACGACTACGACCGTTTCTTTTTAGAGCAGCTTTGCCCTCCGCTCCCTTGCACGCACCAGGAGGTTTTTACGGGTCGATTTTATTGAAGTTATGTTGGTTGCTCGTCCCCAGGGTTGCAAATCTGTGGTACCCCGTGTGATCCGATTACCGGGGAGAGTTGTACTGTTCTCTGTATAAAAGGCGCAGGGTGTTCTGTCAATGGCAGAAAAACTGAACGGCTGGTCCGGCCGCGCAGCCGCTTGCTCCGTAGCTGAGGAATAAGGATTTATCATGTGGATGGTGCCGCTCGTGTTCCACAGGCTTGGCAGACTTCCTGCGACATCTGTGGGAAGAATTCACTGAGGACAATTGCAAATCCCTTTACCAAGGTTAAGACCAGATTATCCTCTAAGCCACGGGAGGTTTGGACAGGTAGAGTTCACTTATTCTGAGTGTTTTCTTGACTCCGGTGAGGCGTCGCCCGTACCCATAATACACAAAAGCACGTTATGCCACAGCGTTACCTTTCCAATCCTGGTTATAAACATCGCGTTTGCTAATCCTAACTACAAGCCTTATCCAACTCAAGATGCGAATGCAGAACTTGGTCACAACTGGAAGTCACATTCCCCAACACGTTCGGTTTCCAAGCACAAATTCCAACCAGAATCACGCCAAACATAACAATTAATAATCCCCGTGGATATTTGAGATTAGTAGGGGAGTCGTCCGCTTCAGGTGCAGCCGGCCAGCGTCTGTCTGCGGTACCGGTAACCCGTAGAACAAAGGAAAGAATCGCTTGGCTTCTGGCGCAGTGGGTTAGAAAGAGGGCGTGATCCATCTGGTGTTGATCCGAGGGATTTTCCCAGAACTTTTCTCCCCAAGCACAGAGGTTCTTCGGAGCGGTTAGTCCCGCCGCTACCATTCCAATATGCCGTAGCTTGACTAACCCAGGTTGTCCTGCATAGAAACCCACGGGATAGTCTCCAGGTGGGTTTTTTTTTATACACCTGTGGTGCTACGGTGGGTGAAAAGCTCCCGGCTTGGGGCAGCCGTTTCCACTCCATCTATTGTTTCACTGATAGACGGCATCAGAGAGTTGTCCATGCCATCCAGCCTCGCGGGTTTTAGCACATCGCTTGACCAGCCCATTCCTTCTCTCAACGATACCGTTGGCCTGGGGATAGTACGGAGTATGAAACGCCCAGCGGATACCTCCCTCTTTTGCCCATTCTTGTACTGTTGCAGCAGAAAATTTTAAAAATTATCCCTTTGAATCTCTTCTGGAAGGGATAAGGTACGAAACCAGCCTCTCACGCTAAGGACCGTATTTTCTCCAGTGGCAGCAGTAACACCTGTGGCCACGGGAATTCCTGAGATGACTTCTACTCTCACCAGGATATTTTTTTTTTTTTTTTCCCCCTTGAGGGTCGTAGAGGGCCTACGGAATCTATTTTCCAGGTGTGCCACAGCGTTTTCCCGTCCCGGATGTGTAAGGGAGGTGCTTTACCCGGACGATCCTTGCTGTGAGCGGCAGTGTGAGCAGGCAGTTACTCTTTGCTCGCATAATTTCACGGAAACGGGCTGTCCTGTCCTCATCCAGCGCGGCCTCGTTTTATGCGCAGCCGGTCAAGGAACTGTTCCCGTTCGCGATCCTCACTCGCGATGTCCACTTGCCGCAGCCGGGTGAGCTGATTAAATCGAGCAGCTCTTGATGTTGCCGGATCATGTCCTTTCACCCATCCGATACATTCGCTCTTCTATTTCTGTTTCCAGCTGTCAGGTTGCCAACCCGGGGCTCTTCGCTTGCCAGTTATCAACTGCCCCGTGGCCTCTCCACTCTGTTGCTCCTTTAAAGGCCGCGTACAAACCAGAGTAACTATGACCAGCACCCTGCTGTCCTGCCGGCGGGACTGCCCTGGGGTCTCCTACTTCGCCTGTCTCCTGTAGCCACGTTCCATTGCCGCTGCCTTGTAATTCCGCTCAGCGTTCCGTCTGTCGGATGAGGCATCAGCGCACCACACCCCTTTAAGGCCGGTGTCCTCTTTTAACGGAGGCACTTCCCTTAGTGGGAGATGGGGGTTTGAAATAGCAGATTGTTATCTGTGTCTTTTTGGATTTGAGCTGGATGTTACCCTCCGTAGCATGGCGCATTCTCATTAATGCTTTCCAAATAAACACCCCACTGACCGACTGTCGGCTCCTGAGCAAGCCAGCGGGTCGCGAGGTGCCCTTTCAGATTACACCCAGAGGCAGAAACGTCCCCTGATAACTACACTTTGTTCCCGTCTTGTTTGTTCCGCTCGGTTCAAGGCTCGGACCAGTGCCCGCAGACCCTTCCCGACATCCAAATACCTGGTTTCAGTATGGCTGAGGGAGCGAGAGGTAAATTCCCCTGGTCTCTCTGGTCCCCGTTGCCATAGTTTGCACCGGGAGCCGTGTTCACTGAACCCCCATTCTATGTGGATGGAGTCACCTGGGTATGCAGGGCCTAATTGCTGGAAAAGCCTTAATTATTAATCAGTACATTTAATGCAATCTCATCGTTGTTCAGTCCGCTCCCATGATCTGCCCCTTTTGAGGAGGTTGTACGAGTGACGGGCGATAATAGAAAAGCCAGGGGGGTGTTTACACCGGTAACCCAAAGTCCCTAAAACTTGTTGTAATTCTTTTTTTACTAGCCAGATTCTGTCTGTTTTCTATTTTTTTTTCTTTTTTTTAAGGTGTCAGGGGGAACAGGGGCAGCTCCTTTAACCCACCAAACTCCTAGGAATTTAACCTCTTGTGCTGGCCCCTGGCGTTTGGACGGTGGAATGTGCAGCTCTGAAGCTGTTAATCTCTGCTGTGCGTTTTCCGTGGCCTGCCGGACTTCACCAGAATTTCCCCCCTCCTATTAGCCTATCATCAGTCTAGTGATGCACAGTAAAAACTTGTCAAATGAGAGATCTCTGCTATAAAATTTTCGCCAAGGCATCGTGAGCAACGGTGGGGGAATGTTTGTACCCCTGAGGTAGCCTGTTCAAGGTGTTCTGTATTCCTTGCCATGGAAATGCAAACGGATCCTTATCCCGTTCCTGGCGTGGGATGGTGTAAAACTCACCTTTAATATCTAGGGTCATCCAGGAATGAGATGCTCCCTCTACCCGAGTCCCGAATTTTTTTCTTTTTTCTAGGTCTGCAGCCACCCCGGCCGTACCAGAGTGTGCAGCTGACGGCAGGGGGGTGTTGTTTAACGTGAGCGATTTTTGCCGGGGGCAGAGGTCTCGCGATTTCTAACAAACTGATACTTTTAGGTTCAGCAAAATTCCACGCTGTTCCATCAGGGTGTTTCCACACTCCGACATACAATAGGTCGAATCCCAAAAATATTACTGCTGGCAGCTCCCACCAGAACTTCAGCTCGGGTCAGTTGTTGTTTTTTTTTTTTCCCCCCAGGGAGCCACAGAGTGATTTTTGCAGTGGGACATTTCTTTATGATGCCGTTAATTCCTGTAACAGCCACTTCTGCGGCGGCAAGGTTCCACGTTTTTATTAATTGCGGACCCTTGTGCACCCGCGT